CGAGCTCGATGGCTTTCGGTTGATCTCCTCTATTCCCTCCGGACGACCATTATTGGACACATGGTGGTGCACCATCGTGTAGAGTATGCATTTTCTTTTCTTGTTTTGTCTTTCTTTCTTTGCTTTTTATGTGTCGTCGTGTGATTTTATTATTGTTTTTTTGTTTCTTGTGTTTCGTTTTTCGGTTTCATCGCCTGAACTTACATGATTATGTGCTTTTTCCTATGCTTTTTGTTCAAGCAATGAGAACATTGCTTTGTTTTAAGTGTGGGGGAGCGATTTTCGTGATTATGCATGTTCGGGTGATATTTGTTTCGTTTTTGGTGCTTTATTTTTCGTATTTGTCGTGTCTTGGACTGGTTTTGTTTGAGTCTTTTGTGTGTTTGTGTCATCTCTCCCGCATGATGCTCAATGTTTGTTCGAGAGTCGAAATAGCTAAGTGGTGAGTCTAGAGTGTTGATTGACTTCATTGTTAGCTTTCGTGCATTATGAACTTGATGAATTGGACGGTATCATAGAATTGAACGATTATTTGTTAACGTGGGACCCTCATGTGAATTCACAAAATTGTTTTGTCCCTTGTTATTCTCGATTGGTGAACTTGAGATATGCTTACTTCTTGCTCGTTTATTGTTGAAAAACGTGTTGTGCTATTCGTTTGTGGTGGATCTAGATCGAAATGTGCTTATATGTATATTGTGGATGTATCGATTTGTGCCACTCCCTAAAAAAGAAAAAAGATAAAAGTTGAAAATAATGTGAGCTCGCGAGGAAGTACGAACTAGGCTCCTCTTATCCCGAGCCACCTCATGGAATGGGATAATGGGCCCGGGAAACTGTCTAGGGAACTCGAGGAAACCCCTCGAGGTTAAACCTAGATAATCATTGTCCGGAAACCTCGTTTGGAAAAAGAAACTCACATAAATGAGCTCGTGAGAGTTGGAAGGATTAGGCTCCACTTGGTTCAGTTGGTCTTCTAGGCAAATCGAATCAATGAGTACGAGAAACCAGATTAGGAGACTCGGGGACAAACCCCGAGGACAAACCTAAGTAATAATCGTCCCAACAGCTCTCATTTGGAAAAAGTAACTCATTTAATTAAAAAAAAAAAGATTATATAATAAGAATAGAAGTTGGCTTATGGTCAACCTTGTATTCATTTATATATTTTAGACCTCATTTAGCTTTTTGCACGTTTATGTATTGGAAGGAGGCATTAATCAAGTAAATCATGTGTAGAATGACTCGGGACGAGTTTTTGTTTTGTATGAATTCGTTTTGTGGGGAACATGTTTTCGAATTTGAGTTTGGTTCTATGATTACCGGAGGATAATGAGAGTTTCATAATCGCATGATTGTTAACCTTGGACCATTCGAGATTTTTCTTCGAGCTACTTGTTATTTTGTTTGCTTGAGGACAAGCAAAAAGCTAAGTGGG